AACCATCCAAAATTGCGTTTTTGGATCGTTAAAAGCAGCTAAGCTGAGAAGCTAAGCTACGAGCTAAGCTATCAGGCCGACCTCTGGAAAAAACTCTGTCTTGTCAAGCTCCAAAATTCATGATTGAAACTTGTGCCTTCGTCTAAAAAGTTGTTTTTCTCTGCAAAAAGAAGCTGAGTATTTGTTTACTGATTTTTTTATTAAAAGATTTGTGTGAAAACTGCTATGCTAAAGAGCTCAAACCACACCGAGGGTCTGCCATGTCAGCCCAGTCACGTCAAGGGGCCTCCCTCCCATTTTTCTTAAAGAGACACGCTGCTTAAATATCCATTCTCTGGTTCAAACAGTCTTATAAAAGGTACTACACTCAAAACAAATCAAATTTCTAAAATTTCACAATTACTAATTATTGTTAAATTTCAAACAATATTATCATTTATCGCAATGATTTCTGAGACTATTAATCGCCCAGCAAAATTTGTTATTGTGACAGGCCTAGTTAAGAGCCTTGCTTAGAGCAAATGAGGTGTGGAGGCAGGTGTGGGTGTTCACCTTTTCCACCCACATTTTGATGTTGTCAATCTGGGGAGTTGAACCTGCGACTTTCCGATCACAGGTCCATCTTCTCTAACTTCTGTGCCACCACTCCCCAAATCGCCATTATGAGTTGTTATCATCCCCATCGATTGCGGTCAGACTGTCCCTCCTCTACCTCTTAGTAGGTTCAAAGGTACGTTCTTATCGCTGATAATAGGGTCGGGGGTTAGGTTTAGGGTCAGGGTTAGGTTAAGGCTCAAGAGTCAGGGGGTTAAGTTTAGGGTCAGTGCTCTGGGTCAGGTTCAAGAAAAGAGTTAAATAAAGTTAACAAAAAAAAAGCTTCCAGTTTTAGATGCGGGTGAAGCTGCATATTATCAGCGATAAAAAATGTACCTATAAACCTACTAGGAGGTACAGGAGGGACAGTCTGAACGCAAACTATGGGGATGATAACAACTAATAACGGCCATTTAATGGGCTGATAACATTTGAAGCTGCTGGATTTCATAGATATCGAGCTAAAATTTGGTGTGGTAGCTGGAACTCATCCCCAACATAATTCAGAGTGCCAACAGAACACTCAAGACCTTTGTTTAAACTTGCACCAAAGACGGTGGATGATATGCAAGTTTTCAAGGATTACTAGTTACAATTTATTAAAATTATATTTCAGGTCAAAGATGCTGTGTTTGTTGGATCACTGGCAACTTGGGTGCAGATGGACATTATTGTTTTAGTATCTTAAAGAACCAACAACTTTAATGTTGGAGATTTCAACAGATTAAAGTGCAATTTGCTTGGATGATGCAACTTTTTTGTTTTATTCCATTGGCAACCAGTACTGGTACTTCTTACGCAACTTTAGATATATGCAACTGATGTTACACTTGGGCTGCTAAAAACAAGCTATAAGCAGGTTTTTACAGGCATCTCCTTTTCTCCACTGGAGGAATTTAATAAACACAGCTCCTGGCTGTTTTCGAAAAATATTATATTTATTTTTTAAAAAGTGGAAGGACCAGGCTACTCCGTAAATGAAGGTACTCACTAGCCTTTAACCAATGCTTACAATTTTTGTTACAACAATATCTATCTGCAAGTAGGACATGGAGTAAATAAAGTGTTACTAGAGTATGTAAACTTAGCATTTACATTTTGTTCAAACATTGGTTACATTAAACAGACTATGCAATGATTTAGTTTAGAGTACTAACTTTTTATCAGTTTTATTCTACAGGACTTTTTTTTAGCATCAGCCTCCAAAATTTTCTGCGCAACCTTCCATTCATTGTATGTTTTTTTTAATCTATTAAACCTATGTGCAAATGAATGAATGTGGGTTTATCTATGGTAGATATTGCCTAAACTTATCACACAAAAAGAACTATATTCTCACTCTGCCTTTACAATTTGCTGCCACTAAAATGGACCGCTTCTTCACAGCAACATAGGTTGACCATTATTATAGTCTGAGGTGTCTTCGAACAAAACATCAAATTTGGCTCCTGTCTTCGACGCTGCAGTGGGACACAGAACATGTGCTCTTATGTTTCCCCTCACACTAGTCTTTCTATTTATGACCTTCCTTGGTAAACACACGAAATGACAGAGCCCAGTTCCACATGCCTCCCTCTTTCAGTGTCAGTAGCCTCTGTATGAGCGGCGCTCACAGAACATGGTGACCTCAGGGTCCAACACTTAGCTATGTGTGCTGGAGGAGGCCCTGGCAAACTCTTCTTCACACCAGTTGTCATTCCTCGTTTGTTTTTGTGCCACCGAGCCCAGCACTTTGAGAAACGTTCCCCATCTCCAAAGCTAGCTCAAAGCTCAGGCTAGCAACGTGGGAAAAAAACGAAACACGTAGCCCCTAAATTAACGTGGAGAGAGATAGCAGAGAAAAGCAGACCTCTCGTTTACTGTCATCTCTATAACGTTTCTGCAAAAAAATCTTTCACATGGGCTCGTGGAGCAGACAGAGCGCTCTTGTGTTCAGTACCTTCAGCTTATCGATGGCTAAAAATGGCTTTTAAAGACCCAGCAGTTGCCAAAGACTGTCCCTTCTTAACTTGATCCAGCAACGACTCATTTAATGAAAAAAGCTGGACCACACAGACTCCGCTCCCATCACGAGTCTTTTCCCTGTGGCAGAGCTCGAAATGTCAGACTACAGCTGGGGGGGTGGAGGATGCACTAAGCAGAACTGCAGGAGGGACGGGAGGGAGACATCGAGGCCCTGCAGGTACACACAGGATGAGAAATGCTTCCCTGGTTTGGCCTGAGGCAATCCAGGCCCTTCTGTAACAACAATTAGCAGACAAATGCTCCACTGACTCCAAATTAATATTTAATAACAACGAGGTAGTTTGCCCCGGGAAATGAGAGACGAGTAGATGGAGCATTCACATGTTTTTGTTTACTAGGATGTGCATGTATTAGCTACAGTACAACTAAATCAGGGAAGCTTAATTAACTGCATTGTCTGTCAATTTAACAGTGTTTTAAATCATTTTAGGCTGTTTAAAGTTTACAAATATACTTTTATTCTGATGGCAGCCTCAGCCATTCCTGTTTGTCTCGTTGTGACTGTTAGACTCGAACACTTTTAATGGGGAACTACAAAATAAAAGGTTTTATGACCTTAGCAAACTCTTAGAGGGGTTCCAATGAATAGGAGTCTGAGAGGAAATTCAATTAGCCAGAATAACGTAAAAAAAATAACCTGGGTGAAAATCTGATGATGGGGTCATTTAATCAGAAGCTACATGATGTTTTATTTTACATTTCTGGCTTATTTACATCAGCTGCAGAGTGGTATGAAAAATCTGCGGTTGTCTTTACTTACTCTACTCTACCTGTTTGTATTTGTAATTATTTATATCTTAACATGTGATTATTTTGTCCTTCCTCTAATAGAAAGTACATCTGGACATGCCATTCTGGGTTCATTTGTTCCTCCTTCCTGTCCTCTCAAACCACAGCTGGTCAAAGAAGATGGCCACTCGTCCTGAGCCAGGTTCTGCTGGAGGTTTCTTCCTGTTAAAGGGAGTTTTTACTTTCCACTGTTGCCTTTGTGCTTGATCAGGAAGCGAGACAGTGACGAGGTGAAGATTCAACACAATCTGCTGGCTTCCTGTTTACATGAGAACAACCTCTGGAAATGTTGGTGTTTTTTCAATGTTTATTGGGAGTAATAAACAAAAATAGTGAGGGTTTACATCAAAACGCAGTACAGGTAGTTTCCATGTCAGTCGGGTTGCCAGATAAGAAATTATGAACTATACAGTAGTACTGTCGCTTAAAAATAATAGTATTATGACTTAAGCTGTCATATGTGCAGAGTAAAGATATTCTAAGATGAGGTGTGTGTTGTGTTTGGTGAACATGTGTACAGAAAAGGAGTTGGTAAAAACAATTAATAAAATCAAATTTATCTGGCAACCCCATTCCCACCCAGCTGCATTCATCTCACATGTAGCGTCTGCATGATCGGTTACTCCAAACTGGTGAATACGCCATCGTCTCTTTGGACCCTGGATTTTATTGGTTTTGCTCCTACGTGCTGAAAAAGGGCGCATAGCACAAAAAAACAGCTCTCTGACATTTATTGTAACTGTTCTTAGTGCATAAAACCTTTTGACTGCAGCCGCCTGTAGTGCGCATGTGCGACTTCACACTTGCATATGACACCTCCGCGAGGGGTTCTCTAGAAAATCTCCACTCTGAGACCAGAACTCAGAAACCTTCGGTTGCAGAGAGAACTAGGGCTGTTGTGTAAATAAATGCCCAAACCACAGCAGAAAAAAAATTAATAAAAATTGTCATGTAAACAGGGCCTTAGATATATTTTACTATTTGGCTTTTATAATGTATGTGAATGCTTTTGTACAGTGTCCTGAGACAACTTCTGTTATGACTTGGTGCTATAGAAATAAACAGAAATTAATTGAACAGAAACCTTTGACAGAAAAAAGGTTCTATCAGACAGGATCTAAATGTGCAGACATAATGAATGTAATCACTTAACTTTAAGGAATCTAATCACAAATTCCAGGACTAAAGGTACCCGCCCAACCTTTGAGCAACTGCTGTATAATCAGTCACAGTGAAGGTTAAACACTGACATGCAGCACAAAAATGTGAGGATCATCAGTAACTTTGGGTGGGAGAGCTGATTACCGCTGTAATTTCAGAGTCCACTCTGACCTGTGTGCATTTGCACAGCAGGAGACCATTGATTACTGACCCAATTAACAGGCATTATCATCAAAAGGCACTTTATTCTAATTCAAAGCCGTTCGTGTGGCATATTTAATGTGAACATGCAGTCAGAAAGATTTATCTTAAAAGGGTGTAGTATTTACTATGGAGGTAGTCAAAATTGTGTTTTTGAGGTACTAAATCAGTGTGTGTTTATAAGGGTAAAATGTTTTCAGATAAAATGTCTCCAGCTGTATGAGACTCACCTTTCTGGCTGCATGTCTGCTGTGGGGGTACTGGCAGCAGTAACGATGGTGGCGAAACGTCGAGTGTTTTGGGGGTGAAGCCCAAATGCTGCGACGAGAAGTTCTGCCATCTCTGGATACAGGCTAGCATGATAGTTCACTGGGGCTGCACGCAGCCGGGGTATTCCTGCTAAATTCAAGAAAAATAAGCTTTCACTGAGTCAGCATTTTACTTTTAGATAAAATGCTGATTAAACAAACCCCCACAAAAAGATGGGAGTTTTCTGAGGCTGCACTCACAGACACTGCTTTTAGCAAAAGGATAATCCAAGGGTTCAACATGTTCATGTGAAGTTAGCGTGAAGCTAACATTAAGAAATTAGCACCTTAGAACAAGATGATAATGATAATCCACAGCAGGTGACTCCAGTGACAGAGAAATGGCACTGTGTTTAATTTCTTATTTACATATGTGAAATACATATTTAAGACGACGTCATACATCAATTTGTAAACAGTAGGCTCCAGGGTTTGGGTTTAGTGTTTAGCTTTTGCAATCTTTGTCCTTTTTTGAACCAGATGTGACCATATTTAGACAAAATTATGAATCTCAAATTTGGATAATGCGTATCTTTGAGGTGTAATATCAATTTAGCAATTATATTAGTTCAAGAAGAAGTATCAGCACAATGATAGGAAAAAACAATTTGCATAATGTGAACATAATGTTGACACTACTGACATGAAGTCTGTTGGGACTATGAACACAGCAGAGTATATGGCTCTTTGCGTAAAAAGTTGTTTTTCTCTGTAAAAAGAAGATGAGAACTTGTTTACTGTTTTTTTATTAAAAGGTTTGTGTGAAAAACGCTATGCTAAAGAGCTCAAACCACAACGAGCGTCCGCCATTTTGAGAACCGAAAAAGGAAGGAGAGACAGCACATGTCACGTCAAGGGGCCTCCCTCTCATTTTTCTTAGAGGCACGCTGCTCGCTCCCTCACTATCCATCCTTCAGTTCAAACAGCCGTATACTGCCATCTGGTGGTCAAAAATGGTACTACATGCAAAACAAATCAACCAACATTTCTTTTTAAATTTGACAATAATTACTAATTATTGTCAAATTTCAAACAATATTATCGTTTATCGCAATAATTTCTGAGACAATTATTGGCCCAGCAAAATTTGTTATCGTGACAGGCCTAGTTTTTAATCCATTATATTTTAGAGAAAATAGTTGCAGGTCAGTTGAGTGAACATCTACAAAAAATAATCTGTTTGAAGAGTTTCAGTCAGGGTTTAGAGCTCGCCATAGCATACTGTAGAAACAGCACTGGTGAAAGTTACTAATGATATTCTCATGGCCTCTGACAATGGACTTGTGTCTATACTGGTCCTATTAGACATCAGTGATCAGTTGATCATAATATTCTATTACAGAGTCTTGAATATGATATTGGAATTACAGGAACTGCTCTAAATTGTTTTAAATCATATCTATCTGATAGATTCCAATTTGTAAATATAAATAATGAATCTTCATCATACACCAAAGTTAGTCATGGAGTTCCTCAGGGTTCAGTGCTTAGACCAGTACTCTTTATATATGTTCCATTAAGTAAAATTATTAAACAGCATGGAATACATTTTATTTGTCCATGAAACCCAATGAATCCAATCAGTTATTTAAACTACAAGCATGTCTTAAAGACATAAAAACCTGGATGACCCTAAATTTTCTGTTTTTGAACACAGACAAGACTGACGTTTTGAAGTTTTTCCAAAGTATACATGAAACTGAAGACAATTCATTTAGGAACATTTAGGAAATATTTAATCGGTCTGGTCTGATGACTCTTCCCCGTTATCACCTTTGCTCTTTCAACTGTAATCAAACCAATTATTGCTGACCCTCCTGTAGCCTCAGAGCTGACCAGGCTTGTGGGGAAACACTAACCACCACAAAGACCTCTATTTCCCCTTGTTCTGGAAATCTATGGCCATATTGATCAGCAGAGAAAGCCAAATAGCTGCTCCCTCCCTAAAGCAGGCTGTTTGCAGAGTTAAGTACTGTCAGAGGAAATGAGAGCTTGTGTCAGAACAAGTCTGTGCCTCTCCACGGCTGATTGGGTTGGCAAAAAGTTGAGACAATATTTAAGTGATAATCACACTTCACTTCCTAAAAAGAGTCAGCGAAATCTGATAGCTTGCACTGAAAAAAAAAAAAAAAAACCTCTTCAGGCTAGAGAGAAATACACTGATGTATGCAAATCAGGTATTTGCAAACACTGCTAATGCAACATTTTACAGCATGTGTTATCACGAGTTAATCAATGAAATTACTACAAATAGATACAACTTTATTTTCCTCACTATGCTGTAGTCTTCAACAAGGCTAACACCAGCCTGAGGCATTCAGCTGTCAGATTTCCTTTTTTTCTTTCTTGCTCAGTTTCTGTATTTTTGTTTTTTATTCCTCCCTGAAGGCTCAGAGGGCAGCTAAAGCGTCTGAACCACAGAACAGAATGTTCGGTGATGAGCTGCAGAAACACGATTACCTTCACTTCAAAAGAAAGACGAGTTGTCCTTTTTTATTTCGCTTTTTTCCCCCCTCCATCTCTGCTCGACATTTTATGACAAGCTCACTTCAGACTGCTCAGTGCATCCCTTCTCATCTGAACACACACACTAAAAGCATCAGATTGGCCATATTCTACTATTGAAAATAATTTCACAATCATCCGTTCGTTACTTCAGATTTGTCAGCAGAGAGATACAGAAAAAAAAGCAGCAGGGGCACCAGAGAGAAAAGACATCTTCAGGGAAATTCCTTCACAACCAGAAAATGAGACATTGATTGGAATATCTTCCTCATAATTTGCAGATGGAAGAAAAATACATCAAGAAGGGCATTATAATTCACAGAGGCCTGCAGTGACTTCACTTAAAAAGTTTAAATGAAAGGAGCAGAATTTGCCATGAATGGTACAAGACAGGAAAGTGATTTTCTCCCCAACTTTATCAAATCTTAAGATATAAATCTCCCTTTAAACTTGTTATCAGTAAAGGGAAAGAGGGATCAATGAATGCATGATTTTCCCACAAGAAAACAGCTTTAAAGTTAGCTTTTTCTTATGATGCCCTAACAAAATATCCAACTGTAGGTGGCTGAAAATATGCCAAAATGAAACTAGTATATCACTCGTTGCTTTGCATGCCACAGTTTTAAACAGAGTTTTAAACATACAATCAGTTAGAGCTCAGAGTATACCTCATAGGAACACTCATCTACTACCACAACAAGATGTAGCTCAAGGTCTATAAAAACGACTGAGTTAGACGTTTTTGCGTTTGCTATGGTCGATTAACTAGTAGGATGCACATCTACTGTTTGCTTTCTACGCTTTGTTAAAATCCTGTGGCTCATGAGATATTTTGCTAACAAACAGAGAAACAATTTCATGACTGTCTGTCTTGCACATGGCAGGCAAAAATGAACCATAACTGCGATTAGTCAGCAATTTTACGTACCCGTAGCTATTACAAGCTCAGCCGAACTCATCCTGCACAAATGATTCTCAGTATTTCACCAGTTTATGCTTTCAAGGACTTTTCAGAAGTGAATAACAAGGGCACAAAGTTTTAAGCCGCTAGAATGTTTAATTCTTGCCACTCTGCAGCGATATCCGTGCAGCTGATAAGCAGCGGGATGTGGCCCACTGAGGACCTGCCAGGGAGATAAGACCTTGTCCTTTGTTGTCTATCTAACTGTCCCCCATGGTGTTGTGATAAGAAGGTTTAGGCAGCCAAAAACATTTTAAAGCTCTCCTCTGGTCGCAGACAGAATGTGGCATCTGTGCCAGGCATTTTGGGACGTTTTGTGCAGCAGCAGAACAGCCATTAAAGAAGTTTGTGGGGAAGAGACTTTCACTAATGTTTGCTGTAGTTAAGCAGAAAATAAAGCTCCTAAAGTGAACCCACAAGATCTAGCATTCCCTGAAAGAACGCCTTATCACCTGCGTGCTTCCATGCCAGAAACTTAAACTACCGTATTTTCCACTGTATAAGTCGCATTTTTTTTGCATATATTTGCAAGTCCTGCGATTTACACATCGAAGCGACTATTATACGTTTTTCCCCCCATATTTATAACCCAATTTTTGACTGAGATCTGATGATTTCATTCAATCTGACATGAAAAATAGTTTTGGCCTCACTGCACTGGTTACCGGTTCACTTTCGAATCCAGTTCAAAATACTCATGTATGTCTACAAATCACTGAACAGTGTCCCCCCCCCCCCCCCCATCTCTTTGATTTGCTACAACCGTATGTCTCACCACGCTCCCTGAGGTCAGTGGACCAGTTGCTCCTCACAGTTCCAGGAACTCGTCTTAAGCGCAGAGGTGACAGGGCCTTCTCTGTAGCAGGACCAAGACTCTGGAACGAGTTACCTCTGCTTGTCAGACAGGCCCCCTCCCTCTCGGTTTTCAAGTCCCGTTTAAAAACTCACTACTATTCAATAGCTTTCAACACAAGATGATCAGTGTTTTGATCCTGTATGCTCTACACTGGTTTGTCGTCATTATTTGCATCGTTTTTTTTTTTTGTCTATATTCTGATTTACCTCATTTTGTATTTTGCTTTGTGTGTTACCTGTTGTTTTGTCTGTACAGCACTTTGGTTGGCCTTGTTGCTGTTTTAAGTGCTTTATAAATAAAGTGGTATGGTATGGTATGGTATGGTATGGTATTTGCAGCTGTTAGAGGTGCGAGAGGGCCCTCGGGCGTTACAACAAGCCAAATGTCTCATTATTAGGTAAAAAGTGGCTATTAATGAGACACTTGGCTTGCCATACAAAGCCACCTTTGTCCTCGCTCCGGAATTCCTGGAGCAAACGCCAAATCAGCTACATTTCGCCGCATAGCCCAGGCGAAATGTAGCTGATTTGACCATTAAAGTGCATTTTTTAAGGAAAAGTTCAACTGAGACACAGCTTTACTATAATGTCGACCAAACAAATGACTGTTTTTAAGTATTAATCTTGTTAAATTCTTGTTAAAGTCCTCCCGTGCACGCTCCCGCGGTCACTATTTGGCAGCCAATTGATTTTTGGCACACCGGCCCACGTTTCCGGGTGGTCAGCGGTGA